GATCGGCGCACTTGTCGAAGTCGCAACACAAACCACGTTAAATACTTATATCTTGTGTGTGTGCCATTTACTTTTTCTTTTATTTTCTCTATCTCATGTTTAAATTTAACTGATCCATTTTCATAACAGCACATGTAGTGGATTGAGAAAGTACAGAAGCATGCGTGGAAGGCATGGTACAAAATGTCCTAATATGAAAAAACAAAAAACAAAATAGTTACCCATGGAGATGCACTAATGACCTATGGATTCCTTATTCTTGTTCACTATTGTTGAATATCAGGATCCGAGAGGATTGTAAGTAATATGTGTGTCTCAACTACACAACGGAGGTTCTATTATATAACTAAAAAGAAAAGAAATACAAAGAGACATACATAATGTGAGACTTCTAAACTGCTATTTATAACACTCCCCAACAAGCTGGAGCATATAAATCATATGCACCAAACTTGTTGCATAAGTTACCTATCCTAGGCCGTCTTAAAGACTTAGTGAATACATCAGTTAAATGATCGTTTGAGTTAACAAAACTAGTGATTATATCTCCCAAGAGGACTTTTTCTATAACAAAATTACAGTCTATCTCAATGTGCTTGGTCCTTTCATGAAGCACTGGATTAGAAGCAATACGTAAAGCAACAACTTGATAGTCACAAATGAGAGATGCTGGGCCAATGTCTTCAAACTTGGATTCCTTCAATAGTTTTTTTAACCAGATGAGTTCATATGTGGCTGTGACTACGGAGCAATATTCTGCTTCAACAATTGATTTGACAACTATACTTTGTTTCTTGCTTTTCCAAGAAACCAAGTTACCTCCAAGGAATACACAATACCCAGAGGTTGATCTTCTATCAATGGAGAAACTTGCTCAATCAGCATCTGAGTATCCCTCAGCTCTGGTATGACCTTTGTTTTCATAGAGGAGACCTTTACCTGGAGAATTCTTGATGTACTTGAGGATATAGATCACTGCATTCTAATGATCTTTACAAGGAGAATTCAAGAACTAACTTACTATACTGACTGCAAATGAGATGTCTAGTCGAGTAACTGTGAGATAGTTTAGCTTCCCAACCAATCTTCTATACCTTTTCGGACATGAAAATAGCTCATTCTGATTTGGCATAACCTTGACATTTGGATCCATAGGGTATCGACGAGTTCAGCATTCCACAGAGTTGTCTCCTCAAGAATGTTGATAGCATATTTCCTCTGGGATATCACAATATCATCCTTGGATTGAGTCACTTCAATTTCCAAGAAATATCGTAGTGTTTCGAGACCCGAGAATATTGTGAGTAATTCTTGTGTCTAAACTACACAACAAAGGTTTTATTATATAACTAAAAGGAAAAAAAATACAAAAATATATACATGGTATGAGACTTCTAAACTACTATTTACAACAACTATTATTATTTTATGGTGATTCAAGAATCTTTCAATAGGTTACTACAACAACCTGTGGTACTGATACCATCAATTTAGAGTACTGCTTTGTAAGAACTGCAACAAATGTTTCTGTGAATTTGTATGATAAACAGAGATATAAGACTTTGTATCATAGATGAACATATTGTATTTGATGTGAATATCTAAAACAATAGTTTTTTATATGTTAAAAATAGGGGTGTAAATGAGTTAGGCCGACCTACGACCTAGCCTATATTAGGTTAGACTTGACCTATTATAAATAGTAAAATAGAATAGGCCCAGACTTTTAAAAAAATCTATTTAAAAAATAGGTCATAGGCTTTTTTGTACTTGTCGGGTCTTTAAGCTTACAGGTTGGCCTATATCATATTATTTATTTTAAATAAAATAAATAAAATATTATTTTAATACTTTTAAATAATAAATTAATATTATTTAGTTATTTTTTTAATTGTTGAATGTCTAATAAGCTTACACAGATTAATAGGCCAAGGCCAAAACTTTTATTTTTTAATATAAGTCAGACCAGACTGATAATTTAAAACCTACACAGACTAATAAGTTATGTAAGATCTAATATTTTTTTGCACAAACCTAATTTATTTAACACAAAACCTGCGAAAGATAGTTTCCGTGAATAATAGAAGGCCCCTCCACTCAAACACAAAGTGGGTCCACACGGCATTTGATTAGTGGAATAAATTTTTGATGCTACTGCTGCATCAAAGATTTAGTGCATCCCACTAATAGAAATATTACTTGTCAGCTAAAGTTTTTTTTCTCTACCAAATTTTTTTTCTCTCATATGATATATAATGCTCTCATTAATAAGATGCACTGAATCTTGGTGCAACGATAACACAAAAAAATTTATTCTGATTAGTGGATCTTTTCAGTGTACAACCATGAAAGTTGTTGCTGTGTGCAAATCCATCTTTCACTGTTTCAGTTTGATTCCATTTTATTCACCATAAATTGCAGAATGACATTATTGGAGCTTAAAGCGAAAAGGGTATGCGAGCTATTCTTATTGAAATCCGAGCATCCTCCAAGTCACGGACTATCATGATCATCATCATGTCAACTATATTTGCTATACTATCGCTTGCGTATGACCCGCACTTGACAAATGAGTAATTTTCCAATTTTGGGAGATATTTTTATCAGCAGTTTGGGAGCTTCAACTAGTTACTAGTGTTACATATAAAATTGACATTCACATTGATAATTAACATTAGCACAGTATCAAAGTATGTTAAACCGAAGAGTTAGAGGTTTTATTCTTATTCCACTCCTAAAGCATTTTATATTCTCTTTAAAATTCTTTATTCTAACAAACTTCCATTTAAAGTGCAATTCATTTTTGGGTTTTCCACCTTTTTATTTGTGTGTAATATCATTTAATGTACAATCTTTCGACAATGAAAAAATAGATTTTTTTTAAATCTTTTTAAAATTCTAACAAGAATATGAAATTTTATATGTTATAATTATCATCAATATTTAATAAATGAATCCTTCTCGATAAATAATCACTAATATCATACAATAAAAAATTAACTTATACGATGATATAATAAAATTTACTTTTTATATAAAAGTTATAATCAGTGATAATAGTATAAATATTATAACTTTGAAATATAACACATGAAATCTTTTGTTTTTACAAAAAACACAGAAGATTATTTGTTTCCTTCTTAGATTTTTAAAATTTCATAAATGCTAGATTTGATGCCTAAAATATCAAATACGAGACAGCTTTTTGTATAGAGTCAAGTGATCGGAGATCATAACATCAAAGCAATTAGGTGACCCAACATTTTCCTGTCACGTCCCAGTATAAATATTTGGTGAAACTGAAACTGAAACATTTAATTTTGATTCAAAAAAGGGAGCAAGTTTTCCCAAATAAGGCGATGTAACAAGCAAACAATGACGAAAAAAAAATGATTAACAATGTAGTAATAGGATTAGTCACAAGGAGAATGTTATATTTACAAATTTTTATAAATTATTATACTAAACATGATCGGTCATACTTCAATCAAGAGTGTATGACCGGTCATTCTTAATGTAATTTATAAAAAAAAAATTCTAAACAAATCCTTCCCCTAATCATAAAGTTAAAACAGTCAAAAACAGTGAAAAGCGAGAATAAAAACAAAACAAAATAAAACAAACAGAGGGAGAGTTGGTATAGGAGATTGGTGAAAAACACAAAATAATAACAAGAGACAAAGAATGACAAGCCTATATGCTGGTCCATGGGCGGGAACAAGGGCAAAAACAAGTTCAAACTGTTGAATAAAAAAATCAAACAAAAAACATTTTCGTGAAAAGATGAAAAGTGTTAGTGGCCACACACCCCACTCACACAAACACCTTTGAATTTCACAACTCTGACACATCTACAATCTCACATGGCCCTCTCTTTTTTTAAATATTTAAAAATAAATGTAAAAGGCAAGCAAACAAAAAATAAAAATAAAAACAACCCCTGCCCTGGCTTTAACCAATACAATCCATTATCTGCTACATTTGTTACATAACAGTTGCTATGTGAATTCTCAGTGTTACTGACATTCTACAAACTTTTTGCCTTCCCATTTTATTATTATAATTATTTTATTTATTACTTTTGTTTCCTTTTCTTCTACACACACTTAAATCTCTAGTCTGTACTCTGAGCCTATCCTTTGCTTCCATTTATTGTTTGCTTCCAGCTTTTTCTTTAGTTTGGTTTGGTTTGGTTGAGTTCGCTTCTCTAGTCAAAGGTATTTGATCTATCCTCCTTCTTTTTCTTACTCTCTGTTCTCTGTTTAACTGTTCATAGATACTAGTTATGCCGTTAAAGAACTAATTTTTTTTTTAAGGTACATTTGATTTTTGAGAATGTTTAAGGCATTTTCAGTTCAATGGCTGAAATGGGTAACTCATATTTTAGGATCTTTTCATTTGGTTACTCGGTAATATGCTTCGGTCTTTTCTCTATTTTTTAACCCCTTCTCTGCAACCCGCTACTGTTTCATTACCCTGGGTCAGTAAATGTTGCAGCAAGATTTTATGTAGCTATTGGATTTTAAATTTCAATTCTGTGGAGGAACATAGGTTCTCAATGATGTTCCAAGAACTGTGTGGGATTTGGCTCATGATAATGGAGCTAAAATATTTCTTCTTTTCCATTTAACATCTGGTTTAATTAAAGTCCATGTTTTTATTCGTATACTTTTTTGTGTTTATTGTGGGTTTGAGATTGATTATAAGCGAAGCCATAATTTTTTTTTTTTTTTTTATTTTTTGGACCACTGAGATTGTTGAAGAGGATGTGTGTTTCTGCTTTCTGAAGGCTAGGGCATGTAGGTTTGAAGTATCTGTTCTGTAACAAGATGAAGATTTGGCTACACCTTGTTCATGTTTTCTCTTCATTACGATATTGAGCATTTTGAATATGATATTGTGGTTGGTTTTGACTGAGCTTCTAAACATTTTGGGTACTAATCTCTGCAGATGAATGCCCTGTAGTATTCAAGCTAATGTTAGATTGTTAAGACCCGATGATGGATAAGAAGAAATGGTTATGGAAGCGGAAGTCTTCTGAGAAGAGCCCTGGTGAAACTGAAAGTTCAGGATCTGTGTCGTCTCATTCTGAGAGGTACTCAGATGAACAGGTACCGTACGATAAACAATCCTTAATCAGTAGCAAAACAGGTTACACTAATCTAAGACTTGTTTAGTATTTGGTTCCTTCTTAAAATATTTGGAGTCCTTTTGATTTGAATTATAATTTGACTCCTTTCTTGTATTGTAAACATGAGATTCCTTATTAGTGGATGAATTTAATCATTCACTTACCGGGAAGCAGGGTTTTAAATTGCTGTTGTGGTCGCGGTTGCGTTGTGGCTGATGCAGGCTAATTATGGCCTGATGTGGTTGCGACCACCACAACCAAAATGTTGCGGCCACATTGCATTTTGCAAAACCTTGCTGGAACGCTAAGATTGTTTTCCCTGGTTGTGCCTTTTCCTTCTTTCATGTTTTCTGTAATTTGATGTCCTAATGCGAGTTAAATATACACATGAAATTATGCTCATAATCATATTACATAATGATTTGCTACATATGCTTTATTTTGAATCTTGTAATATCAGTAACCTTTCTGGAAAATGAGTAATATAAAAGACCGAAAGAGTTGTCTTGAATTATTAAGTTCTTTCAATTAAGCCAGGTTTCACAACTAATTATTCTCCATAGACTTGTTGAGGCAGAAGTTTTTAATTTAACGAGGGTGAAATGATAATAACGAAAGATTTTGCTTAAAGGGCGTTTGCCCTTCTCCTGGTCTGTCTAACATGTGAAAAAAGAAGATAAAATTCTATTTCTGTTTTGGCATAAATTGTCCAATAAAAGACCCGAAGACATAGCTCATTGATTAATCAAGATTGATGTAGCCATGCGTACATATTTGATATTTTCTCATTTTGTACAGCCTGTATTTAGTACCTTTTCTGAAAATGGATCCATTGTGGCCGATGCTGAGTAAATTCGGGAAATGAATCCTCTAACGTGAAAAATATGACATGGTCATGTGAGAAGATCACAACCATACAAAGATAAATCAACGGTTATGATTTTGTAACTACCTATATTAATATATTTTCTCTCTTCTCCTTTATTACCATTGATCTACCTTTGTATTTTCCACATTATATGATCATGTGATTCTTTACATTAGAGGATCCAGATCCGTAAATTCGAGAATGTATTTTAACAACTTCTGTGCCAGACATTTCATATTAGTCTAAGTCAACCATAGATATCGTATCTTTTATGCCTTTCTCCTCCTGGTTTTTTTTTTTTTTTTTTCATCCTGATTGTTTCCGCATGTAATGGCCAAATTGCTACATTACACAAACAGAATAAAGTTCCCCATCAATTCTTATCCTTCTTTTTCTGATAATCTAGTATTTTTTTGTCTTTAAACCTGTGAAAGCAATAGGCATTGGAGGAATCTCCTAATGGAAGCAATCAGTCACCTGATGTCACCTCAAAAGCTGCGACACATGCTGAAGATGTTAATGTTAGTTCATTTATCGATGCGCAATTGCCTGAAGAAGTCACCTCAAAACCTGTACCTACTACTTGCATCATAGATAATGGTTCATTAAAGAAAGATGAAAATGGAGAAAATGAAAATATAAAAAATGTAAAAGAAGGAGATTTAAATGATGGGTTGAGGAATATGTCGGAGAAGCTATCTGCTGCACTTGTGAATGGTATTGCCAAAGAAGACTTGGTTAAGCAGCATGCCAAAGTCGCTGAAGAAGCCATTGCAGGTACAACTAATGTTGTTAACCATACGTACATTCCTCTGTTGCCTTCTGTAATTTTCGAAATAATCAATAATTATACTTTATTGCTTGATTACCATTCCATCCTATCGTGGATATGCATTGATATTGTTTGACTTGTGTCTACAAAATAATTCAGCAGCAGATTGTTGAACAAACAAACTACACAGTAATTTCCTCCTCATAAAGGAGGACTAGGATTTAGCCATTTAGGTAGGGTTCATAGAAATTAAAAGTCAAATTGAATCCGAATTATGTCAATAATATATTAGATTAAGAGACTCATGTGTGATCTATAAGAACACTTACATGCTAACACACACTTGCATAATAATTATCTCCTTGTATGATTCCCGGGTATATTTTTGTTTCCTTCTCTTCTCCCTTGTTTAGATTATATCTTAATTGTTCCATTTTCATTAACATAGGCTGGGAAAAGGCTGAAAATGAAGTGGCAGTTTTAAAGAAGCAACTTGATACGGTCACACTTAGGAATTCAGCTCTGGAAGATCGAGTGACCCATCTAGATGGTGCACTTAAGGAGTGTGTTAGGCAACTCAGACAGACAAGAGAAGAGCAGGAAGAGAATATCCTTGATGCTGTAGCAAATAGGACTCATGAATTGGAATCAGCCAGAATTAAACTTGAAAGCAGGATCATTGAGCTCCAGAACAAATTAGATGCTTATAATGCCAGATCTTCTATTGATCTAGATTTGTGTCAAAAGGTTGAATCTTTGGAGAAAGAGAACATGGCTCTCAGGCATGAGATCGTGGCTCAATCAGAAGAGCTGGAAATCAGGACGATTGAGAGGGAATTATGCACTCAAGCTGCTGAGACAGCTAGTAAGCAACATTTAGAAAGCATTATGAAAGTAGCCAAGCTCGAGGCTGAGTGCCGGAGACTGAAGAGCATGGCTTCTAGAGCTTCCTTAGTTAATGATCATAAATCCATTGCTTCATCCTCATTTTGTATTGAATCTCTCACAGATAGTCAATCAGACAGTGGGGAGCGGCTTACTGCAGTGGAAATTGACACCTACAAAATGAGTGGCTCAGAACCAAACAAGTGTGAACCAAGTTGTTCTGACTCATGGGCATCAGCACTAATTTCTGAGCTTGATCAGTTCAAGAATGAAAAGTGCAGACAAACTCCATCCAGTTCTGTTAAAATTGATCTAATGGATGATTTTCTTGAAATGGAACGACTTGTTGCATTACCTGAGACTAAGAACGAAACCTTTGTTCAGGAGTCAGTTGTTGCCAATAAATGCATTAACAAAGAAAGCTCTCTTAGAGCTGAGTTTGAGATCATGAATCAGCAAATGGATGAACTAAAAGAGAAGTTAGAGAAGGTGGAAGCAGATAAAGCTGAACTAGAGATAGCTTTGATGAAAAGTGAAGAGTGTATTGAGGAGACACAACTTCAGTTGAGGCAGGCAGAAAAGAAATTGGAGGAGTTTCAAAGAGAGCTAGAAAATGCCTACAAATCAAAGCAAATGACAGAAAATTGCCTAATGAGCATGGAGGCAGAGGCTCAAACATTATCTGTGAAGGTTGACTTATTAGAAGCAGAGGTTCAAAATGAGAGGGCTATGTCAGATGAAGTTGCAATGAAGTGTAAGGATCTGGAGAAAGAGGTAGAATGCAAATCTGCAAAGGTTGACTTAATAGAAGCAGAGGTTGATAAGGAGAGGGTTGTCTCAGATGAAATTGCATTGAAGTGTAAGGAACTGGAGGAAGAGCTAGAAAGCAAATCTGCAAAGGTTGACTTACTAGAGGCAGAGGTTGATAAGGAGAGGGCTATATCAGAAGAAATTGCAATGAAGTGTAAGGAACTGGAGGAAGAGCTAGAAAGCAAATCTGCAAAGGCTAGCTCATTAGAAGCAGAGGTTGATAAGGAGAGGGCTATGTCAGAGGAAATTGCAATGAAGTGTAAGGAATTGGAGGAAGAGATACTCAGGTCAACAGCTAGCTCATATGGAGAAAAGAAGATTAAACAGGTTGGTCATCATTGACAGCTATATTAATGTTCTATCATTGATCTCATGTTCAAAATAGGAAGGAATTAGTCATATACTTTCTACCAAACTCTTGAAATGAATGTGATCTTTTCCATGCAGGAGGACCTAGCACTAGCTGCGAGAAAGCTTGCCGAGTGCCAGAAAACAATAGCATCTTTGGGGAATCAGTTAAAATCCCTGGCTACACTTGAAGATTTCCTTATTGACACTGCTAGCATTCCTGCAACTCCATCACTCATTGCTGAAGCTAGTGGAGAGATGTGGAAGTTGCATTCAAATGACACATTTTCACCTAAAAGAGATTCCATTTCTTCAAGGTTGCCTGATGGCAGCTCTGATCCATCCTTAAACAAAAATGAGGAAAGCACACCACCTTCATCATCTTCATCAACTTCATCAACAGCCTTGCCAAATCATGTCAGTTCTGAGAAGAGTCGAAATGGCTTTGCCAAATTTTTCTCTCGGACAAAGAGTGGGATTCGGCTAGAAATTTAGTGAGGATATAGTGAATTAACTACAATGGAAGTCATTCTTTTCTCGAGTTACAAAACAGATTGGTGTTGTCATTCAAAGAAAAGACTTAACCATACTCAATTGTCATCAATTATATCATTTTTTAGAATCTTATGTAGGGTTTCTGTTGCTGATAGATCTCCCTAAACCTAAACAACTAGAACAGAAGTACGGGCTTCCATATTTATATGATGAATATTTTGTTGCTAATTCATTATCATAACTATATGTTAGAGCATATACGTATAGAATTTTTCTAAAATATCAAGGTATAATTATTTATCAATTGAAACAAAAGTTGATCATGCTCTTTGGTAAAACTTAAAAAATAAAATAAAACTTGTTTGGAATGGCATAAACTTGACAATAGTGTTAAATATACTGATGAAGTGGATGCAAAATACTTACGGTTTTTGGCTTGATGGATGAAGTTTCTCATACATATCATCCACCAATAATTTCATTTCTTATAACAGAGATCTATACAAAATCTCCATATGAGCTTTTCATAAGTTAAAACTTATATTGCCAAATATTTGTTGCAAATAAAAATTTACAGAAGATAAATGTTGATGCATTTTAATAACTGAATTATTATACAGAGTAGTTCCATTTTATATCTCCTAAATAGAAAAAAAAAAAATACAAATAGAATAAAACAGAATACATTCCATTCCATTAGTTCCATTTCATTCAATTGTATTATAAACAATAAAAATAATATCAACTAAAATTGTCTCAATAAAAGATACTGTGTTTTATGATAAGAGAAACAGAAATTATAATAAAAAAAATGCGAGAATTATTTTTAATTTATATATTAAATAAAAAAAAGTAATTTTACTTGTCAAACATTTTTTCTTTTGAATTGCTGAGGGTTTAGGATTTACAGGAATGAAAGTTAAATAAAAAATAAATATTTACATGGTGTAGTGGGTAGCACTCTGGACTTTGAATCCAGCGACCTGGGTTCGACTCCCGGTGGGACCTTACTACGCATGTGGATCACATTAGACTACACGCTACATTTTATGCACATATAGTGCCACAAATTTAATTAACTTAATTTACAATTTTATAACGCGGATGAAAAAAATAAAAATTTACGATTTTATAAAAAAGAAAAGTGTTTGTCCTTTAAATGATATAATTTATGTAATTTTACTTTCACAAAAAAGATGGAGCTTACACATTTTTTATTGTCTACTCTCAAGGGAAAAACAAGTATGATTTATTTCTTTCTCTCACTTAAAATGACACAATTTTACATCCTTTAAAATAATACACACTTTACCCTTTATAAAATTTAAGTGTGCGCAGAATACTTAATGGAAAAATCATTTTTTCCTGCCCATGGAAAATCACAAATAGCAAATCCCACAATGAAAAAAGAACAAAAACAAAATTGCGCTTGGCTTGGCAGCACGTTTGAACCCTTGACTTTTCCATGGGTTCTTTTGATTTTCATTCACACAAATATGAACGGCCAATTAATGCCCATAGCTTTTTCAAAAATCAAAATCCCACAAAATGACACAAGACACAACTCGGAGAAGATATCTTTATCTTCCCAATCCGAGCTGGCAAGGTGTCAGGGCCCCACAGTTGCAACATACTCTAACAGCCCTAAAAGAGCATGTGGAAGAAATAGATGCCACGTGTGAAACACAGGTATCCACGTGGCGTCCCTCAGTAGGCAAACGGAGATCGCGCGAAACACCAACCTCTTATCAACAAAAATCCTCATATTAAATCTCATTCGTTAATGTTTGCTTACGTTTCTCTTTCTCTTTCTCTTCTCTTCTCCTCTCCTCTCCTCTCTTCAGACAATACTCACCTTTGCACCGCCATGAACGCCATAGCCACTGCTTCAGCTCTTACTCTACCAATCTTTTGTAGAGCAACCAAGCTTGACACCAAAAGGGTAACCCTTTTTTTTTTTTTTTTCTCTTTTCTCTTTGTTCTGTCAGTGAGTTTTGTGCCTTTGTTGTGTACTTATTTTTTAAGGTGAAACTGAATTCTAATGACATTAAGTTACTTGGTAATTGTGTTGAGGGTGTATGTGCTTTCATTTGTTTTACAGGTTAAGTTCTAGACATAGAGGAAAATTTGTTGATCCTAATATAATATACTTTACAAAAATTTTGATTTTTTCTTTCTTTCTTCTATGTTCTTTTTTGGGCATGCAATTGAGTTCAAGATGAAAATTTGGCATGGTGGATTTATTTAGCTTTTAGCTCAGCTGTGGTTTGCATCATAATGCATGGTATTAATTTACATTTATGCGCAGTTAATGTAGCAAGTTTCTCCTTCATAGGGGTCTACATTTAACTTAACATTTTTTTGGTCATGTCAAATTTCAGGATTTGAAAGGTAGATTTGGAGTGTTTGCTGTATTTGGAGAAGTAGAGAAGAAAAATGCATGGGGTGCGCTCTTTGATGTAGAGGATCCAAGATCTAAAGTCCCACAGTATAAAGGGAAGTTTTTGGATGTATATCAAGCCGTAGAAGTGGCTAGGTATGATATTCAGTACTGTGATTGGCGAGCTCGGCAAGATGTGCTTACCATCATGCTCCTCCATGAAAAGGTTTCCACTTATTTCAGTTTTTGTTATATATTTTGGATTCAAATTTGATGCTTGAATGGATTATGGTGATTGTTGATGTTCTGTCTTTATGAATTTTGGACATTTATAAACTTGGCCATTGGATCAGATTAGAATGTCATTACACTATAGGTTTTGTTTGACTATTCCCTTTTTCACTTAATGAGCTATGTGCATCCCACCATGTGTTGATTTATACCTCCATAAAACATGGGTGTAGGTGGTTGAAGTTCTTAATCCTCTAGCTCGTGAATTTAAGTCAATTGGCACCATGAAAAAGGAGCTAGCTGAGTTGCAGGGAGAATTAACAGAAGCACACAGACAGGTATAGAATATTAGCAGCAGCAGACTAGTTAAAACAACTTGGAACTGAGATGTCTTTGGTTCGTCTAACTTGGCAGAAAATTTTCCATTAGTCATTAATCAGTCACTGTATTTTTGTAATGTGATGAATAACAACAGGTCCATATATCTGAAGCAAGGGTTTCCACTGCTTTAGATAAACTAGCTTACATGGAAGAATTGGTAAATGATAGGCTGTTGCAAGACAGAAGCACAGCTGAAGTTGCTCAGACATCCTTGTCTCCTAGTACTTCTGCTAATTCTGTAAATACTGAAAAGAGAAAGCGGCCACGAAAAACCTTGAATGTATCAGGTCCAGTTCAGTCATACCATCCGCACTTGAAGAATTTTTGGTATCCTGTTGCTTTCTCTAATGACCTAAACGATGATACCATGGTAAGTCAAAATCTGTTTTTTTATTTTATTTTTAATATCATATGAAACCGAAACCATTGAAACCACTCCCCGTTAAACTTGACTAGCGAGTGTGGGGTGAAGAAAATCCTTGTACGCAGTCTTACCCTTGCATTGCAAAGAGGCTGTTTCCTGAATTCGAATCCATGACCTTTCAGTCATTAAGGAACAGTTTTACCACTACTCCGGTTCGCCCCCTTTATTTTTTATATCATATACTTAGAATATTTGTGTCATCTATTTCAGTTAATACAAATCAACTGGAAACCATTATGATATGATATTAGAACATTGTCTTTCATCAATTAACAGAGTAAAATAGATGAGCATTTGAAAATATATTTTGATTGATATTGCTTCTTTTATGCCCAGGTGGCATTTGTGTGAGGGTACTAAAATGCCATTTTGTAGTACATTTGACTTGTTGCAAATGAAAATGTTTTCACTTTTTATTTTTTAGTTTCTCTATTTTTCCTTTTCTTTTTCCTCCTTTATTATTTTCTTTGGGGTTAGTGGGTGCCATGTCTGATAAGGAGCAGTCCTCTAGAAAGTTATGGTTTTACAGAAGTTACTCTACTTTGAATGTGAATTCTCATAAGTGTGTTACTCATTTTCTATTTCAGATCCCAATAGAATGTTTTGAGGAACCGTGGGTTATCTTTAGAGGGGAAGATGGGAAACCTGGATGTGTCCAGAATACCTGTGCACACAGAGCATGTCCTCTGCACCTTGGTTCTGTAAATGAGGGTCGTATCCAATGCCCCTACCATGGTTAGTACTCACTGGAACAAATGATGAAACTCGATGCTGTTTCCTCGGGACAATTATGCTTCAGTAACATGATTATATCCTAGAAATGAGTTATATGCACTTGTACATAATGTATGTGTAACATCACATGACACAACCCCCAGGTTTATGTACAATGAAACTGACAGAATCTAAAATTACTTAATGGTTGGATATCAGGTTGGGAATATACCACTGATGGAAAATGTGAGAAAATGCCATCTACTCGATTGCTAAATGTGAAGATAAAGTCAGTTCCATGTTTTGAGAAAGAGGGTATGATCTGGATTTGGCCTGGCAATGAGCCCCCAAAAGCCACACTTCCATCTTTACTACCTCCTTCTGGATTCGAAATCCATGCTGAGGTATGTTACGAATGTAATCTGTCCCAATAGGTATTGTGTGCGATGCAAGAAGAAAGAATAACAATTTTATGATTGATACTTACTTGTTGTCTCTTCACATGTGACAGATTGTCATGGAACTTCCAATTGAACATGGGTTACTTTTGGACAACCTTTTGGATCTTGCACATGCCCCTTTTACTCACACTTCAACTTTCGCTAAGGGATGGAGTGTTCCCAGGTTGGTTTGGTTTATACCATTAAACTGAAAGCAATAGTGGTTCAAAAGAAGTAAACATTGCATAATTCCGGTGATGAGGGGAACAAAATGTCTTTTGGGAATGTTTGGGTTCAGCTCATTTGAAATTGATCCAAAACTTATTCCCTCTACCTCCAATTTCACTTGAATTTTTTGGCTTCTAGAAAACACTCCTCAATCAAGGGAAAGACAAAAAGGAATATGAGTAATGAAGAATTTGAATTTTGT